TTAAGACACGTGGAACATGGGATTGTCCGAAAAACATTGTCCACATGTGTGATTCGTATCCGAACCAGCTAAGATTGACAATAACGCCTCACCGGCTCGTCTTTGGTTTCGTTGTCCAATTTGTACCAAATCCGGTGGTCCAGATTGGGTTTGTATGTTCTCTAGTTCCTAGAACTCATGGTGTATGGGTCCCAATCAGATTCTCCTAGACCAAACCGATCTCAACGACCATCACACACGCATATTTTTATTAAAAATCATATAGATCTTTGTCGTGCTGACATGGCACAATTTCGTGTTTTTTTTTGTCAGATGGGACGAGAGGAGCTCAGCCGTGACGCCGGACGAGGAAGTTTTCTATCTGGTGGCTTTACTGAGATCAGCTTTAACGGACGGCGAGGAGACTCAGAAGCTAGAGTATCTAAAAGATCAGAACCGTAAGATCTTGGAGTTCTGTGAACAAGCCAAGATCAATGTGAAGCAGTATCTTCCTCACCACGAAACACAGGAAGAGTGGGTTGATCATTTTGGGGACAAGTGGGATCGGTTTAGAAGCATGAAGGCTGAGTTCGATCCGCGACACATACTCGCTACTGGTCAGAGAATCTTTCGAAACCCGTCTTTGTTTCCGCCATCGTCTTCTTCGTCATCAGCTTCATGGTGACAGGAAAAAAACAAGAGGGACAAGTAGTAGTTGACAATATTCTTCCTAATGTAAATATATGACCTAAATAGAGAAGCATCAGAGAGATTAGGTTTGGTCTTTTTGTTACTAGGGTTTTTAAAAATTAGAGTTAGGAAGATTCATCAAATTAGTCAAATTTTTATTGTTTTGTTTAATATTACATCATGGATTTTGGAAATGGGTTTTTAGGACAACAGCTTTAAACCCGGTTAAATTAAAAATAGACAACAAACCTCAGCCAGGACGGTTTCGGATTATTATACATATATGGTCGATGGATGGATAAATGGTTTATACTTTATCGTCGTGGAACCACCATCGAGTCTCCTTTGGAGATCTTCCGTTCTTACAATTCTTCACATATCGATCATTATCGGTTGGTCGTTGCTGCAACCAAGCAAGAAGAAGGTTCAGCTTTGTGGAAGAATAAAGAGAGCATGCTGAGTTTAAGAGCTGTATGTACCTTTTCGGGCGAGCTTGAGAGCATGGAGAGGATGCTGATGCAGATAGAACTCACCGTCATGGCTGGAGACCACGAATCATACAGAATATCTGCAAATGATACACAACATCAGATTCTTCGTTGGAGTGGCCGATGTTCGAAACGTGCTGTTGAACAATAAAATGCAGGAAACGTCGTATATATCCAAACATTTCAGTGGGAGCTGATCATATGATATCTCAAGGTAAATGAAGAGGGCCTTATTGTTGTGTAAGACTCTGAATTAGTTCCGGGATCGATATTCATGACACTTATCACACTGCATATGTTGTTTGATTTGTTATAACAGTCTCACTGGGCCTCGAGTAGCACTGGAAACAATATCTACCGAAACTTTTATTTTTTTCGTATAAAAAACATTCGATTCTCTATGTGTTTATCACTAGGATTATCGAATGATATATCTTGCTCCTATATCTCATATCAAGCTACAGATCAAAGCAAAGAAATCTTAAGTGGTAGAATGTAACTAAAAAACAGAGTAAGAGAGTATCAGAAACAGAAACAGAGGACAAGCACGTACCTAAGCAAATATGCCCATTACTGTAAATGTGAGGATGCATAGGAGCTGGAGGAAGAAAAATTACCTGCACAATCCCACAAAAACATTAAAAGGAGAAAACTTATACATACACTCAAGTCAACTCGAGAGTGATCAATAGATTCCAAGACAGAGGCAGAGATAATTCCCATTGACTTAAAAGGGGAAACTTTCATCTTTGTGTGAATCCCATTAAAGTTTATGGTTTAAACAAACGAGATTGCTCTAGAAAATTTCGTTACTTGAGAATCATATAAGAATTTAAAGACTAACTTGTGGAGATTCCATAGGATAATGCTCAGGAAAATCAACTTGAAGCTGATACGTATCGTTTGCGTAAAGTGTTCCTGGAGCTCCAATCACTTCAATTATCCATCTATAAGTTATATAACCCATTGAATTTTCACATACAAAGTTCCAAACTTTCATGATTCTCAGTCCAATACAAAAACAAAAAAAGCCAATCAGGAAAATTGATTACCTCTGGAGATTATCGGTGACTTTGTGTTTAAACCCAGTAGGTGGATTCCTCTGCCATTCGAGAAGCTCTTTCTGAAGCCGATTACAAGCGATCTTACTCAGAGCCTAACGCATAAATTCACAAAAAGAAAACAGTCAAGAACCCTAATTCCAAAAAAAAAACACCAAAAGTCAAATTATGAACACACAACAAAAC